TGAAGACCCCAGTCGGTTTCTGGACTTTGAAGGATGTCAAAGTTGTTCCAGCCTTGAAGAAAAGTTTGATTTCTGTCAGGCAGTTGGACGAACAGGGACACGAGGTGAAGTTCAGAGATGGGCAGTGGAAGGTCGTGAAGGGAAATCTTGTCATGGCCCGTGGAAGGAAGAGAGGTTCGTTGTATATGGTCGAGTTACCATCTGAGGGAGTGACCGTCCCAGTTCAGAAGAAAAACGAAGTCCGGTTCACAGAGTCTCGTGGGCAGAATAAGGTTGTCTGTGCAAGAGAGAAACCTAGAGCCACTGGTCAGACTCAGGATGAACGAGCGTGGAAAGGTTCAAGGGGGCCAGTCAGAGGTATTTGTGGTAGTGGGAGCTCAAGAGGCGCTTCAGCCAAGTTGCCTAGAAGACAGTGGGTCAAGAGAACTAGTATTCCAGCTGTTGGAACATCTCCAGAAAATTTCTTGCTGAGTACAGAGATTGTTCTCAGGATGTTCTAGGACCCGGCAGTGTGCGTTTGCAGTGGGAGCCGGTAGGGACCGAGGACGAGTCAGGGGCAGATTTTGCCGTGACTGATGTGTTGGAGCTTGGGAGAGCTTCAACGGGCCTTTTAGTTGTCTGATGATAGGGCCGCTGCAATAGGAGAGCTGAGGAAGATTACTCGATGTACACGGAAACGTGGTGGATGGCAGTTGATGACTATCAAGCCTCCAAGTGGGAGAATGTTGGGTTTGTGGAGGCTTGGGCTTGACTTTTGGCCCGGCCCATGTTACGAAACCCTAGATGCACTCTTCCTATATATATTGCATACTTGTACTTGTAATCGGCACCACAAGTGAAATAAGAAAATCCTCCTGTTGCAGCCGTGGATTAGGGAAACCGAACCACGTTAAATTCTTGTGTGTCGTTTGTGTTCCGTTTTCTCTCGTTTCCGCAGATTATTTGTGTGTGTTGTGTGTTTAATTCCCTACAGTTAGTTTATGTTTTTAAGTTTTTTAATTAAAATTTTAAATTTTTAAAGCATGATAACTGCAACAGCGAGAGAAAATTGAAGCATTTTGAGCTACCATGGTTATGAGTATCCGATAACGACGGGCTACCCCTTTTCTAAAAGCTGTGAGCAAGACGCTCAGCGGTCCAATTGGTCAAAGACCAATCACAGTTCATCTTCGACCCCAAATTCTAGCGTTTAGCCCATTAGAATTACGTTTTTATTATTTTGGGCTATCACACTGTTTGGGCCATAACTTTGGCTATTGGTGTCCGATTTCAGAAGTCTACCCCAAAATCCTAATTTTTAGACCATTAATTTTGCAGTTTTGTCTTTTTTGGATCTTTTTCCTACTTCTTTACAATTTTTTAGCTATAAATGCCCTACTTGTGAGCACTTTTATGCAGACTTGGTATGGCAGTTAATTCGGCTTTTGGTTTCCGGTTTCATGGTCAATCCCCGGATTTTTGGGTTTCGATTTTCGATTGACTGACATATCTTTTAACCGTGATTAAGAATCTCTACCTTATTATTGTACATCAATAATATGAATAATTGTACATATCTCCACTAGCGTTTTCATCCCTCTCGTTTTTAATTTGTTGATTTGTTCTTTTATCATATGTTTGATTCTATTCGGTCAGTTTAGTCCTTTAGTTTAAATTATAACTTAAAAATCTAAAATTAAAAATTATAATTTTTAATTTGTAAATATTCAATGTAAAAAAATTATTTTTAATATTTAAGTTTTAGTTTTTTATCTTTTAAATTTATAATTCATTTTTAATTTCATATATTTTTCGGCGACCAAACAACAAAATTCAAATTGAGATTTTTCATTTCCAATTTCATGACCTCAATTTCGTGTACTAAATGATGATTAATTTTATGATTTTTTACAATTCAGATATTTAAATTAAATGTCAAAAAAATCAATACCGACAGATACAAAATTGTTGCTAAAACTACAAACAATACCTACAGATAAATTTTTGTTGCTAATACTATAAACAATACCGACAGATAAATTTTTTGATGCTAATACTATAAACAATACTGACAGATAAAGTTTTGTCGCTAAAACTATAAGCAATACCGACAGATAAAAGTTTGTTGCTAAAACTATAACCAATAGCGACAGATATTACTCTTTCTGTGGGTCAAATAGTTTTTGCCTTCAAATAATTTTATCTGTCGGTAATATTCTCTTTTTAGCGACAAATAAGGTTTCTGTCCCTAAGGATCTGTTGGTACTGCCCTCTTTTTTTGTAGTGGGTGTGCCTCTTCCTTGCTCTTCACTTTACGCTTTTAATTTTTTATTCCTGTGTCATTTTCATTTCAAACGCTATTCACCCCCACCCTCTAGAGTTGGGATGTTTTTCTAACAATTGGTATCGGAGCCTAACTCTCTTCTAGACTTAACCGTTTGAGAGGAATAAGATCATGGGCTCTTCTTATAAAAACTTGTACGCAGGCATTGGCGAAGGGAAATCCACCTCCAGGCCACCACTCTTTGATGACACCAACTACTCCTATTGGAAGGAATGGATGAGAATCTATATCCGTTCCACCAACTTCCAATTGTGGTTAGTGATCAAGAATGGCGAGGAAATCCCAATGAATAAAGTGGGAGAAACCATGGTCCCAAAGACCGAAGACGAATTTGATGCCGAGGACATCAAGAAGATTGAGAATTATGCAAAGGCCATCAATATGCAATATTGTGCGGTCAACCCCGATGAATACCGAAAGATCTCCTGTTGCACAACCGCCAAGGAGATGTGGGACAAGCTTGAAGTGACATACGAAGGTACCGATCAAGTGCGTGAAGCCAAGATCGATTTTCTCACCCAAGAGTATGAAATGTTCCGAATGAAGGAAGGTGAGAAAATCGACGACATGTTTGATCGTTTCTCAAAGATTATAAACGATCTTCATGCTCTTAAGAAGACATATACCATCAAGGATCTCTTAAGGAAAATCCTGCCGAGCCTCACCCCGAATGGAGATCAAAAGCCGATGCAATCTATGAATCCATTGGAGTCTCCAACGTCACCATCGACGGGCTAAGAGGTAATCTTAAAACCTATGAATCTACTATTCTAACCCCGTCTTTGGATGAACAAAAGAAAAAGGGGATAGCTCTCAAAGCCACCAAGGAACCGGTGGAAGAGGTTTCAAGCGATGACGACAATGAGTTTGGACTCATCATCAAGAAGTTTCACAAGTTCATGAAGAAGGAATTTGAGCAGAAGGGAAGGAAGCACGACGGTCCTCCCAAGTGCTACGGCTGTGGCGAGATTGGCCACATCAAGCCAAGGTGTCCAAAAGTCAAGCACGGCAAGGACAAGCCCGGATTCAAGAAGCAAAGGGCTTACATCTCTTGGGGTTGCGATTCCGGTGACGAATCAAGCGACCAAGAGGAGGACGAAGCTGCAAATCTTTGCCTCATGGCACACGAAGATCAAAACGACGACGTCTAAGAGGTATGTACCATTTCTTCCGACTCTTATACTTTTGAAGAAATGCAAGAAGCACTTCATGAACTTTATGAAGAATTTGTTAGCGCTTCTAAAATGAATAAATCTTTAAACAAACATCTTTCTACACTTGAAAACGATTTTGAAAAATTGGAAAAAGACAATGAAAAATTAAAACAAGAAAACAATTTTTTTTGGAAAAAGAAGCGCTGACAAACCGGAAAGTTCCTCAAGTGAATGTGAATCTTGTAAGACTTTAAAAGAACAAGTCACTAAACTTGAGAGCACGGTCAAAAAATTTAATACTCCGCACAAAGATTTAAATTTTCTCCTTGACACTATGCATTTTTCTAACGTTAAGCCACCACCTAGACAACCATCTAAGGTTCAACGTAAGAAACCTAAAAATCAGGATAATAGAAAACCTAGTCAACCTAAGGACACTAGACAACCTAGACTAAAACCTAGGAATGAGAACGTTCATGGTAGACAACCTAAGAAAAATGATTTTGTGCATAAAACTAACTTTTCTCAAAATAGAAGAAATAATGTTAGAGCACCTAGAAAAGGTCAATTTCAAAACTTTCAAAAACCATCTTTTTCACAAAATAGGAACAAAATGGTTAAACCCTCTAACTATTATGAACCTAGGCACATGTACAACCCCAACGTAGTTTGCCATTATTGTAATAGGATAGGCCATATTGCTCCCGTTTGTTACACTAGGCATAGGCACCTATCACAAAATCAAGCACACTACCATCACACACCTAACACACGAGGACCCAACGTAAATTGGGAACCTAAAACTCATTGATGTGTTTCATAGGTGTGCTTGAAGGCATCAAGTATACTTTGGTACCTTGATAGTGGATGCTCCAAGCACATGACCGCGGATGCATCCAAGTTTCTCCAAATTAAACCCGCTAAAGGAGGAAACGTAATTTTTGGAGACAATAGCAAGGGAAAGATTATCGGCATCAGTTCGGTAGGTAAATCTGAAAACTCCTCTATAGATAATGTCTTGCTTGTTAAAGGTCTTAAACACAATCTCTTGAGCATAAGTCAATTATGTGACAAGGGAAATCGTGTGACCTTCGACTCAAAATCATGCACAGTAGAAGGCCTTAGTGAAAATAAGGTCATTCTACGTGGTGATAGAATCGATAATATTTATATGGTTAACTTAGACAAATCTCCTTCCGGCGTTGCTAAGTGCCTCATGAGTAAAGAGGAAGACACTTGGTTATGGCACCGAAGGGTAGCTCATATGAACATGAACCTTTTGAACAAATTGGTTTCACAAGAAATAGTAATTGGCATTCCAAAACTTAAGTTTGAAAAAGACACCATATGTGATGCATGTCAAAAGGGGAAGCAAGTTCGGGCTTCGTTTAAGTCCAAGAACATTGTTTCAACGTCTAGACCGCTTCAACTTTTGCACATGGATCTCTTTGTTCCTTCTAGAATGAAAATTTTTCGTGGTAATTACTTTGCGTTTGTGATTGTCGATGACTACTCTAGGTTTACATGGACCTTGTTTCTAACTCACAAAAGTGAGGCATTTCATGTTTTCAAAAATTTTCTAAAGAAAGTACAAAATAAAAAAGACACAACCATAGTAGCCATAAGAAGCGATCATGGGGAAGAGTTCGAACGAAATCTGTTTTTGGATTTGTGTGACCAACATGGCATTGATCATAACTTCTCAGCCCCACGTACACCACAACAAAATGGAGTGGTGGAACGTAAAAATAGATGTCTCGAAGAGATGGCTATAACTATGATTAATGAGGCAAAAATCCCTAAGTATTTTTGGGCGGATACCGTGAGTACCGCGAGCTACGTGTTAAACCGAGCCGTCATTCAACCGATATTCATGAAAACGCCTTATGAATTTTACAAAGGGAGAAAGCCAAACCTTTCCCATCTTCGAGTCTTTGGTTGCAAATGTTTTATTCATAAGAATGGAAAAGATAACTTAGGCAAATTTGCTGCCAAGTCGGATGAAGGAATTTTTCTGGGTTACTCACTTCGTAGCAAGGCCTATTTAGGGACGCTCTCGCAGTTCACCTAAATAATAACCACTTCGACTTTAACACGCTAATGATAAATCTGGAGTAATTATTAGTAACAACGGCAACCATAATTATTTTATTATATGTTTACCCAATTTAATGGTGTAAAAATACAACTCAATAATTATGTCCACCCGAAAGTCTTCAATCCTGGTTAAAGGTAGAGAAGGCTTACGGTGTAATTAAAAAAATGTTCTATTTTATGATTATTTCAATTTTAGCTCAAATTCCTTTTAACAATTATGTTTATGATTGGGACCTTAATTAAAAATCACAAACATTCTAAATTTATTTATTTTTAAATACAACATCCAAGTAAAAAAGTAAAATCAACAATCCATGTTAAAAATATTTAAAACATTAAGATGGACAATTAATTACACCAACTTCTAACCCCTATGGAATTTAGAAGTTCATAGTTTGAAGCTTAAACAAATAAATATTTATTACAAACATAAAAATCTTACAAAATGGAAGGTGTGTTCTTGAGCTCCAAATATAATAGATGATGATGAAGATGGAGTAATTTTTATGTGTTTGGATGAAGAAAGTGGTGAGATATTAGTGAGGGGGGAAGAGAATTTCGAAATGGATAGAGGGGAGAAAATGGGGGTTCCAACCTCCTAGAAGAAGAGAAGGAAGTGGATTTTATAGATAAATTCGTATATACGGAGTATATACGAACAGTCCCAAAAATGTCAACAAAGCTACAGTAGCCCATCCAGTGTCGGTGTTTTGTCATTTTTCTCTCAATTCATGGCCGAATTTAAACTAAGAACATATTCCGTGTCCGCCAGTGACATGCCGAATAATCAGCTGTGGCGCGATGGTCCAAGCTGCTCATCCATACCCCGAAGTCTAGTGTTCGAATCCCAGCTCTAATCTTTTCATTTTTTAGATTTATTTCTTTCTTTTCTTCAAATCTCTTCCATTTATTTTGGTCCCAAACTTCCATGTTTATCTTCTGTTCTAGAAATTGTTCTCAATGCGTCCAAATGACCTCAAAATACCTGCAAAACATATAAAACCAAGCATAGGACCGCTCTACCAAAATAAAACGGAAAGTTGACATAAAATGTAAACATTAATTCAATTGGGACTCAAAACTCCTACATAATATGCCTAACAAGTGTATAAAATATGTGCATATCAGTGACGAAGTTCGTCTTGGACGAACTCAAACCCCATTTTGGCAAGAGACTCCTCGGTCACCACTTCCTAATATTGACAGCCCCTCGGCTGCATAGTTGGTGGGTCATGGACAAGAGGGTGGCGTCAGATGGGGGACAAGGGAGGCGACGGAAAGATGGGAGCCCTGAACCCGTGAAAGGAGATTCGGGCCCCGTCGAGACAAAGACGAAGAAGGGCTTCCAGTCCTTGGTCGACCCCTTCTTGTCACTGGTAAACAGTTTGCTAGACCTTTGGGAAAGACTGGCATAGGACGCCCAATTCTTGTGACCCTTGGTCAGCTTGAAGCTGAACAGGAAGTGGTCGAGAGTAGGTTTCACCCCTATATCCTTGCATCTGATTAGATAACCGGCAATGTACCGGTGGGAATTGGGAACCAATTAACAGGGGAGGAGGTCCACTCCGTTGAGGAATTCAATCAACAGCGGGTGGAGGGGAAATCGCAGCCCCTTCTTGAGGGACGCCAGATGGACTGTAAAGAACCCCGATGGAGCGTCTAGGGCGGTCTGGGTGCTAGTAGGCCTTAGGACCTCAATGGAGGGTCCAACCATATCAGTAGCATCGGCGAACCCCCAGTCAGTGACCTGGCAATGGCACAGTGCCATGATACTCTCGTCCAGCTTAACCCTCGAGCCCCCCCGTATTGGGGCCGAAGAAGGAAATTGCTTCCTTAATCGGCGTAGCTTTTGGCCGGGCATGGCCGGTGGGGACGAATGGGACAATTGAGTCTGGCTTGTGTCACGGCCAGAGGCCGATTGATCGGCATGACGAGAGTTAGACGATGCGGAAGCTGAGTCGGAGTCTGAAACAATCATGGTGGCGAGAAAAGGAACTAACCGGGAAAGGAAGGAAAACGGGTCGGATAGAAGCAGAATCACAGATGAATGATGATGTAAAAGGCGAAAGAAAGAGATGGCATCCAGCGGTGGTTTTTAACTGACAAGGGGAAGGCGAAGCAGCAGGTCATGATTACCTATTCGTGGAGATCGTGTCCAAACGTCACGCGGAACCCAAGGAACGGCCCGGATCCACGTTGGAGTGTCCACGTGGACTTCGTAAACTCCACATCCCTCAATTTAGCCCAATCGAGGAATGAGGAGTTGGGGGGCTTGTGATGGGCCGATATCCGACGGGCGGCCTAAATGAATCATTTAAACAACGTGGGACAAGCACTTGGAGAATGCTCAGGTTTGGGCCAGCCCATGGAGTTCCCATGGAGTTAAGCCCAACCAATTCCAGTCCAAGAACGGTTGGCAGAGTCAATTCAGAGAAGAAGACGGAACTAAATGACGGAGATGAAGCTGCAAAAAGAGGATCGCGCCATTGGCGGGATAGACTCCCTTGATTATGTATTACCTTAACTGCCTAATACCCATGTATAAATAGAGAGGGGCGAAAAGGAGAAAATGGCAAGCTAAATCAGGCTAATAGAAGACGCATAATTCTCGAGTTCTTGTTCTTAATTCATCTCTTACGATCCGTTCTCCAAATCGGATCATTTGGTGGATTTATTGTCCATCAATGGGTTAGTAAATCAATTTTTGATTCACGAACTTGAGGCGTACCTTCGTATGTGATCATGAGCTTGTTCCACATTTGGTTGGCGGTTTAGCAACGAGATATCTTTTGATAATCATTGGCGTTGACAGCACAATACAAGAAGTTGATGGCGGTGGCATTTAATTGAGCCTTCTTAAAATCGGCTTCATGATATTCATCCTCGTCCTTCGGGATGAGTGTATCGCCTACCTTCTTCATCGGCAAGCTATCTCCATTCTTGCAAGCCAAATTTTGAAGTCGTTTGATTGAACAAAAATCCTCATCCGCTCCTTCCAATAAGAGTAATTTGTTCCATCAAAAAATGGTGGTCTTACGGTGGATGCCCTGTTGGGAAACGAGGCTTGGATAACGCAGCGGAAAACAAAAATTTATAGTCCAAAACTCGATTCCACCCAAGAACAACTTACGTAAATTACTAGCTATAATAAGAAATTTATCTTAACGGTGAAAATGGAGAACGGAGGAATGGTCGGGGATGGTTTTGAGGAGATGAACGTAGCGCCAAACGTATGAAGCCTCCAACGTATCCACACGAACTTGCTCCAGAGTCTAAGATTAAACTTGTGCTAGCAAGTTTAATATAGGATAGTAAAAACTATAATAATACTACTCTGGGAGTAATAAATATATAGTAAAATATTTATCTTATAAATATTTGTTTATTATATTTTGTGTATATTTCTAACACTTTAGAAAAATAACTTTGAACACAAAATAAAATTTTCTTCTCTCTAAAAATTGGGATGGCCGAAAATTTGAGGTGTGTATATTAAAAATCAAGACTTCATTTTATAATAAAGCATATTTAGGAAATTGCTAGGAAATTAATGTTAAGCATAAGTACATGCATATGTCTTAACACGATGTGTAAATGTTTAATATCTTAGCTACCAAACAAAATAGAATCCCTACATCAAATAATAATCAAATATATCAATTTGACATTAAAAATACTTTATGTATAAAATCAAAATGGTCTTGGATTTTTCCTCTTGAAATTTCGGTCATCCCATATTTGAAACATATCATATTTCATTTTTGACATCAATAATTATCATATAATTAAAATGATGAAAAAAATATATATATATATACACACATTCGGCGCTACATACATACATACATACATACATACATACATACATACATACATATATATATATATATATAAAATAAAATTTGTTTTGTCAAAATATAATTATCATATAATTAAAATGACACAAACAAAATATAATTTTAAAATACATATGTATTTTCGAAATACATATATATATAAAATTATTACAACTATATATTTAATATTACTCCCACTAGTGTAGTATACTACTCCCTTACAAGTCCTAAGTGTGTGACCCTTTAGGTATCCATAACACTGGCAATGATATTAATATAAATTAATACCATAGATAATAAGAAGTATCTAGCAACACATTATTATCCCCAGATTATGAAAAAGACGTTCATCTTATCAATACCTTCTACGACACAAGACGTTCTATAACTATTATCCTTCTGTCCTAAATGTCATGATTTAACACAAGGCATGACTACACATAGGAACATATCAATTTAGTCGACAATGACTTAGAGTTCATCTGACCGTCCCTAGTCTATAAATAGTCAGAGATCTATCGCTGTATAGACCCGTACCGGTACGTGAAAGGGTTCAGGATGATAAGTCACCCGGGTAACTGTAATATGAAGATATGTCATCTTCCCTGTTTAGGACATAGACAATAAGTGTAGTCTAAATATGCTTAGCAGCATACCCAACGCATAACTGTACGTATACCAGTATTTCAGATAGCATTAGTTATGAATTAAAGCATACGGCCCCCACATATCAGAGAATGTAATAACTTCAAGTCTGAGGATAGTTATAGCAAGGTCGATTTGAGAATACTGATAAACACATTACTGTAGATCCATGCAGTATTCTCAAGATGGGTTAATCCAGTCACATATTATCGATATAATATGCACCTACGTACAGATTAAGATATCACAATACCTATAGTCTATGAGATGCAACTATCTCATCTCGTACGTACTAGTCTTGATACGTTATGACGTCCGTATTATCATAAAGTGCGACTAGGGATATTCTAGACTTAGCCTTCTTCAAGAAGTAACAGTCTCATAATCAGAACATCGTAGTCCTCATCTATGTTACTGAAGCGCTATCGTCTATGGACTGAAGCTATGTTATGTTACACGAGATATAAAACATACTTCAAGGCCTTTCATTCATGATAAAGTGTACAGTTACATAGGTATTTGATTGCCTCTAGGGCACCTAAATACAACATTCCCTTCTCTAATCCCTGCGTTCAACATTCTCAAAAACATTTTGATCGTTTCCTCAAACGTCACAAAGAGCATTAGAGATACCCGCTCTGATACCAATTGTTAGACAATGCGTGCAACTCTAGAGGGGGGTGAATAGAGTTGTTGAGAAAGTTTACCGATTTTCGCAGGATTAATAATATAAACGAAAGTGCAGCGGAAATAAAAGAGAGAAGGCAAAGAACACACCGATGTATATTGGTTCACCACCTCGTGGCTAGTCCAGTTCCCCGAGAGACTCTCTCGAAGCTACCACTACTTCCGTTAAGCTTACGGGTGCTTAACAAACCGTTTACAACTCGAGAACTTGAATCCCACAAGCCTCGACACAACTTCTTGTAGATATACCCTTTACAAGACTTCACACTCAAGACTTAAGTCACATAATTCTTATATAACAAGAAGAACAATCTTCTTCAACCTCTCAACAATAACTATCACAAGAGTAGAAATGAGAAAAGATTAAGTTCTATGGATGACAAGAACACTCTCTTCAAAACACTTAGTTTTCTCTCAAAATATATTAATTTGAGGAAGAAATGAATGAGGATTATAACCTCTAGATTGGGGGAGTTTAGGAGTGCTTGTTCATTCGTAAAAATGACCAAGGAATGAAGTTTAAAAAGGGTTTGAAGGAATATGTCCGTTGGAGCTTAGAAAAAAGAGTTTGCTGAAAAAAGCAGCATAAAAATCGATTAATGCACCATGGTAATCGATTAATGCAATCTGTGCAAAAATCCTTCAGCGGACAAAATGATAATCGATTTTTGCCAAAGTGTAAAAATCGATTTTTGAAGCAATTATGCCCAAATATGAAGGACACAATAATCATGTGTGCGGGGTGAAGTGCTATTTTGGAAATAAGCACTTGTTTAGGACATACAAATCAAATCAAAAGGCTTCCCAATCAACAAATACAATTCAAATTCAAAATTTGAATTATGAGAAAATATTTTTGGTGTAGAAAGTGAGTCCCAAAAATATTTTGTGTGTCAAACGATGAACATGAAAATATTTGAATAAAATATTTTTGCTTTCCAAAAATATTTTCTAATATCAAAATAAATATTTTGATAAATGTTTGACACACCTTTTGTAACTGACTCAATGAATGTATTTTGAACAGTTAAAAAGATTTTTCAACTAACTCCAAAAATATATTATTTTTAAACTGATGGATTCAATCCATTCTGTGGAGTTTCTACAACGTACTCATGCTGGCCAGTTTTAATATCGATTTACAACTTACCACCTTGGTTGTGTATGAAGAGAAAGTATATAACCTTAAGCATGTTGATATCAATACCAAATCAGCCCAGAAACAACATTGATGTCTATCTTCAGATGGTAGTTAAAGACCTTCAAAGGTTGTGGATTGGTGTTCAAGTCTATGATGCGTACAGAAAAGAGTTCTTCACATTGCGGGCAGTTTTGTTTTGGACAATTAGTTATTATCCTGCATTGGGTAATTTGTCAGGAAATGTTGTAAAAGGCTATAATTCATGTGTTGTTTGTGGTGATAAAACAAATGCCATCAGGTTGCGTAATTACCGTAAGATGGTGGTTATGAAGCATCGCAGGTGGTTGCCACGACAACATCCATATCGAAGGCAGAAAGCGGCCTTTGATAACACAATGGAAAAGAATGCAGCTCCTATCCCATTGACTGAGGAAGAGGTATATTTACATGTGCAATCGTTAAGTGACCATGTCTACGGGAAGACACAACCACATCCTCATCTAAAAAAAGGAGATGGATATTGGAAGAAGATGTCTACTTTTTTTAAATTGGAATATTGGAAATTTCTGCCAGTAAGGCATGTTCTCGACGTAATGCATATTGAGAAAAATATATGTGAGGCATTAATTGGTACGTTGCTTAATATACCAGGGAAGACAAAAGATATGGAATCTGTGCGTATCGATATGGCTGAAATGGGTATTAGAACGAAGTTGATGCCCAAAAATCCCGGAAAAAATGAGAAGTTACCAATGGCATCTTGTAACTTATTGCACAAAGAAAAAAAGATACTTTGCTCATCTTTGCTTGGCATGAAGTTACCTAAAGGTTTTTGCTCTAACGTCAAGAGTCTAGTATCGATGGAAAATCTTCGAGTTGTCGGGATGAAGTCTCATGATTGTCATACAATATTGCATCACTTTCTCCCCATTGCAATACGATCGGTGTTACAAAAAGATGTGCGGTCCACTATTATTAGGTTTTGCCTCTTCTTCAAGGCAATTTGTAGTAAAGTCATTGAGGTCGATAAATTGGAAAAAATGCAATCCCAGTTGGTAGAGACTTTATGTTTTCTTGAAAAACATTTCCCTCCTTTATTTGATATAATGGTCCATCTCTCAATTCATCTTGTGAGAGAAGTCAAGCTTTGTGGGCCAGTTTGGCTGCATTGGATGTATCCTTTCGAACGAGAAATGAAGACATTCAAGGGATATGTATGCAATCGTGCTTATCCTAAAGGTTCAATTGCCGAAGCGTATATTGCAGAGGAGGCAATTGAGTGTTTAGTGAGTTCTGAAGATTATACAGTTGGATTGCCAAAACATTTCCAGGGTGCACAATCTAGACCCCTGTCTGGTGCGACGATGATCACACCGACCAATAATGACTTGCACCTAGCACATTTGCGTTTCCTCGAAAACTGTGATGATGTCCAACCATACTTTATGTAAGTATTTTTTTTAAATTTTTGACAGTTAATTCGCTTTCTTTCTTCTTTATAATATTATTAAAGAATAAATTTGTTTCAGTGAACATATGGGTGCTTTGGTGAAAACGTATCCACAACGTTCTAATGATGAGGAGTGGCTCAAGAACAAGCAAAACGAAACTTTCCCGGGCTGGTTTCGTAGAAAAGTAAGTACAATCTGTCATCATATATTATTTGTGCAGATTCTTGAATAAAATAGCAATATTTGAAGTTGTGGTACTTCGTTTGGACAGATTTCAACAGACATGCTTGTGGAGAATAATACGGTATCAACGGAACTAATGTGGATTGTAGAAAGGCCTAATAAGGATGTACCCACTTTCAGTGGGTATAAAATCAATGGTGTGACCTACAGCACCAAAGAACGTGATGATATGCGTCAAGTTCAGTGTAGTGGTGTTTGTGTAGAAGCTCAAACAATGCTCATTGTTGGTAAGGAAAAAAACATCCAACATGGTACACACACATTTTACGGTGTTATCGTAGAAATTTGGGAGTTAGACTACAATTATTTTAGGGTTCCCATCTTTCGTTGTAAATGGGTAGATATGAATAGAGGGGTTAAGGTAGATGATTTGGGATACACTGTGGTTAATTTGAACAAATTAGGTTTTCAGAATGACCCATTTTTGTTGGGGAAACACGTCATTCAAGTATGTTACATTGTTGATCCTCTTGAGAAACTATGGTTAGTTGTCTTAAGATTACCTGAGAAAAACTATATGGACATTGATGAAGATAGTGAGGGGTCTGTTGAATTAGAACTCGAGGAGGAGTTGGATGTGAGATTGTTCCCACCCAACCACGCAATAAATGAAGATAATAGTAATTACATGCGAGAAGAAGATGAATTGATTGTGTTGGCATAAGTTTTGTTAATCGTTAAGTGGGCCAATTTTAGGTGGATGTTGGGTGCAGTTTTATGTCATGATCTGCACTTCATGTCTCTTGGAGAGTCCTTGCCCTCCTGTACCTGTATTTCGCTGGTGCTGTGTGTTATGTCACTCTGTATTGCGTTGAAGACTTTTGATGTTTACGTTGGGCCATAGTTTTTTGCTTTATGGGTGGAATCATACCGGTTGTTTTGGAATGGTAAGGGCCTTGTGCTTCAAGCAATTGATTTATACTTCGAGGTAAATTAATTTTGTGTTTTCCTACATTTTGGGGTTTATGGCTGCCCTTTGGGTTTTATTCTTTGTTTTATTATAGAAAATGTTGTACTGTCAAGGTTTTGTTTGTGGGTTTTCATGATGTGCAGTTCATGTCGCTGCTAGCAGTGCTTGTCCTCCTGTATATTGATGTTGCTGTGTCTTAAGTTGTGTCCTCCTGATGGATACGTTGGGCCATAGTTTTTTTGCTTTTTGGGTATAACAATAATGCTGTTCACTTGGTGGCTTTTCCCAAGGTTTGTACTGTCAAGTTTTCTTGGTGGGTTTTTCCATTTTGGTTTCTGCTCTAAGGTGTGTATGATTACTTTTAGAATAGATGATTGAAGGATGAAGCTGCTTCAAGGATATTAACGAAATGCTTGAAGGATGAAGCTTGAGGGATATCCATGTTGGTGAGTCATTTCCTAACTTCAAGGATATGTACTATTTCTTGGATGCTTGTTGGTCATTGCCTTTATTTCAACTTACCACTATTAAAAAGAACCAACTTTTGGCCTATAACAGATCATGTTTTGGAGGCATCATCATGAAAAATTGCAGCACCAAAGCAGTTTCTTGAGCAAAAAAGTTGTTCTCTGGTTGTCGCACTCCATTCCTCAATAAACCTTGGGTCATACATTCTATTTGCATCTCGCCATCTTCTAATTGTTTTGTGGTTTTATGATGTGAGATTGATGGATTGTATGGGTTCCCAATTCCCTTTGTGTGTAGCGAGACAGTACCCAGCCTGTCCATGTACAAATTATTTCGTTTGAATGGAAGTGTTTATTTTTTCATGTCCATATAATTCTTTAAAACAACGGTTGTTTGATTGTTTGGGCAGTAGTTTTTGAGTGACTGAGTTAAACTCTTGGGGGNTATGGTTTGGGGTGAGTTTTGAGTGTGTGTGGGAATTGTTTGTTGTGATGCTTTGGAAAGCCAAAGTCTGGACAGGGGCATGAAGATAGGGGGACGAGACAGCTGCTGCAATTGGGCAAAATGGAGTGTTTCTCATTGTCTTGGTCACTGCCTGGGCTGTTTTTTTTAGCTGAAGGTTTGTTGGTTTCTTTACACTTTTCATGTTCTTCGTTACTATTCATTCTTTGTTGTTTTGTTGAGGACGCAAAAATGGAGATGGCCTAAAGGCCCCTGGTAGTGCTACTGCCATGCCAAATCAAGTAGCTCCAGCCACCACTTCAAGTCAGACAGCCAACACCAGTCTTATAGGTTTGAGTACAGCTGAGACTGAGTCAAAATGGACCTACTGCCATGCCACTAGCAGCGGGTAATAAAGAAAAGAAGAAAAAGAAGGCTTTGAAAGGTGATGAATCTATTGTGGATGGTTATGGTGATGCTGCCATGCCAAAGCCAGGAGGCCAAGTTCCCATCCAATTCTCTTTGTGTGTTGTCCATGTAATTTTTCTTTTCTTTCAATGGACAATACTGTTTATTTTTTCATGTCCATATAATTGTTTGGAACAACGGTTATTTGATTGTTGTATAAGTTTTGCCTGAAAGTATGAATGTAAAGTTAGAGAGCGTATACATTTTCATTGTAAAAAGGATTACCGTTTCTAAATAGTTTTAGGCTTAAGAGCTAGACTACTATTTAAAACGAGTATTCTTAACGTTCTAGGCTTAATATGCACAATTCTCTTAAAAACAGGTTTCTTTACTTATTATAGATAACTGTGAAAAAAATAGTGTGACACACACTACTTGTAATACATTACTATTTCTTATAAGTTTAAAAACAGTTATACACTGGGAAACCAGACTTCTGTTAAGAAATAATAGTCTTAACTAATTATTGACAACTGTGGCAATAAAAACTGTATTTTTTTACGAAACCGACTACTAATAATAGATGACCGTTTCTCACAACTTCAAAAACAGTTCTACCCATAATTCATAGACTATTGTTCCAAAAGAGTCTTATATTCCTATTATAAACAATAGTGGCAAAAAAACCATATGAAACAGACAACAAACATTAGATAACTGTTTCTAATAAATTTAAAAACAGTTCTAGAATAACAACCCAGACCATTGTTTCAAGAGAGTATTCTTAACTTGTTATTGACAACTGTTGTAAGAAAAACTGTATTTTGAACTGAGACAGACAACTAATGATACATTATCGTTTCTGGAAACTTGAAATATAGTTTGAAAGCATAACAACTAGACTACCGTTCTGTTCCCAAGAAAAACTTACAGTAGTCTGTTTTTATTAAACTACTATGTTTGCATAAACAGTAGTGAATCAACAGTGGTCTGATGATGTTTTTGGCGTAGTGAAATTACATTCCACTCTGTCTTTGGTTTTACGGAAAAATCGAACAAAAAAAATGAACTCGTCCCTAGGTGGAAGTGCGGTGACAATGTGATTGTGGTTGTAGTGACTAATTTATGTACTTTTTATTGTAAATTAACTTTATTATTAATGTTTTAACAGGGGAAAAGGTCTCTTTATTGTTAAAAAACGTCTGTTTAGGGAAAAAAAACTTTAAACTCTTAATTAGATCCATGCTAGGATAACCCCAACATTTTGTGGCCTATCATGACCACATATATTGCATAGACACGCACAGATAGTAGTGTCATTTTTTGATCAAATGGGGATGGGGAAACCCGAGACTAACTCGTCTCCTCAAGAAAGCACCCTACAAACTCTTATAGTGGTACTTTTATCTAGCCCCGACCCCACACAACTTTTTTATTTCCCTTTTCCATCGAAACTGGGTCACTTGTTTTCCCCGTTTTCCAACAATTAAGTAATACTTCTTTCGTCCTACAAAACTTTCAAAATTGAAAAATGGCGCACCTTTAAATCGTACACTGTTTGTATTATTTTCTAATTTCGTCCTTAGTTTATAATAGGGTAGGATATGGTGTATTGGATGGATGAATCACATTTTGAAAATTATATCAAATCTATACATTTTTAAGGTGCGCTATTTTTCAACTCTGAAATATTTTATGGGACGGAGGAAGTACCATTTTAGCTTTAGCGTTTTGAAAATATTATGAAATAACATATTCATCTTTAACATTTTTAAACTAATATGCACTATTATGAAATTATCTAAAATGATAACATTAATTGAAAGCATTGTTCCCAAACACGGTGTTCCTCTCTCCTTGTTTTAGGAATCTTCCTCTCACCCACATTCTTTCCCGTCGACTGTAACTATCGATCGTCCTGAATTAATCGTCCCACTTATCTATTTGTGTTTCAAACTTTTCCCTTAATTTTTATTTTATTTTATTATTCATATTTAATATAATATAGACATCACAACTCTTTCTAATTTTTATAAATTTTATTTTAAATAATTATTTAAATAAATTCAAATGAAAATAAACTCAAATAAAACTCGTTTGATGTAAAATTGTTAGGCAAAAGTGCAACTCTAGAGGGGGGTGAATAGAGTTGTTTTCAAGAATGTGCGTTTTTCGCGTGTGTGTGAAATAAAAATCGCAGGAAAAATAAATAGGAGTAAGGGAAAAAAGAACACCGAGATTTATACTGGTTCTAATACGGGATTATTTATCATTATTATTATTAATATTACTATTATTAATGGTTAGTGGTTATTATTATTATATTAGGTAGTATTATTATTTATGGTTACTTAATTATATTATTATTAGAAAGTAGTATTCTATTGTTAGGATATTTGTTACCATTTATAATTAGGATTCCTAGATTTTTTAGTTTTCTTCTATGGTAAGGATTCGTTAGATGTCTTAGCAATAAATGTATCCATTTCAATGAATTATTTATCAATGAATAAAGAAAATACTTTCTCCTAAACCTTAATCCTTCTCTCTCCCTCGCCTCTTTTGTTCTTGGAGCTCGAAGGTGCTCGAAATCCTTCCCTATCCCGATACGATACCGTATCAATTGGTGCTCTCATTGTTGAACTCACCAAAAAACCCAAAAATTTAGCCCAAGATCGTCGCCTGGAGTACAACATGATGAATTCTATGTTGGGAGAACTTTGTGTTTTATTAGAGACTCTTCTTTATGGAACAATTGGCTTCGATGAAGGAATGTGTGCCGCTGATGATTTTTTTGACGAAATTATAAAGAAGCTCCAATCATTCCGCCATATTGAAGGTCAATTCTCTTATGATTTGGACTTATATGCGTTTGACATAAAAATTTCTTGTTCAATTCAGAATTTAGTTCGTGGTCCCCCAATTCTACCAAGTTTGATCCCGATAGAGTTATACATCTTCAGAAAAAACATGATGAATGCAATAAGGGAACTCATTGGTGCTCCGCTTTCTCCACCAAATTTAGCCCCTAAGGCTGGAGACATGATTGCTCAGATGGTGGATAACACAGCCGCACACACAGGTCCTCTTGTGGAAAATATAAGCGATGAACCACATGTCGAAGATGACATGAAAAGTGGGTCCAACGTCATGAATACCAATAAGTCACTCATGATGAGGGAGGAAATTGTTATTCATCCGGTAGGTATTTCCGATGATGCTTTTGTTATTGTGACTGATCCTGTTCCTACAGACGATGTGGATGAGGATGCACACCACCAAGACCGTGAGGAAGTTTTTGGGGACAATCCAATTGTTTATGGATGCATAGAAAGCTTTGGAATGCCTGATGCAGAGGTTATTGTTATTTGTAAATCGGGAAGTATTGGACCCGGTTGCATTCTTTTCATCGAGTTGGTCGCATGCAATTATTTAACTAGTGTTGGAGATGTTGTAGGTCCAACACGTTCTTTTTATGCTCTAATAAGGAAGATGTTTGACCCCGGAGGATGGACGATGTGTAACACCCTAATCCATCCAGGTCTGCAGCCTCTTTCGGACTAAAGTATTAACTTGGTAATCGTAAAATTTAAAACTTTTCAAACACACTTTATTAATCCCAATAATATTTTCATACCAGAAACAGTACGGAGTTTTCAATATTGCGGAAGCTTAACAAATCATAATTACAAACATAATTTATTTATGTTCTTTAATTCAAAACATCACATCCATTCCGACAGTCTCGCCTCCGTCCACCTCCAGGATGACGTCACATTATTTTTTCTATTAACATGCGTGTAGCAAATAAATATACTACACACTCAGTGGTAAAGCTGAGTAAGCATATCTAATGCGTCGAACATCCATATAAATTGTATCTCAATTCACAATCAAATCATTTAATATCATGCACATAAAGTTCAGTTCAGGTATTCAATAATCAATATTCAATTTTCAACATTCATTATTCAATCATTCAACATGTATGTTCTTCATTTGTCATTCAACAATATCCTTAAACTATTCTTAGTCTAAGGCCAATCATTTTAATATTTGTAACCCTTAAATGAATTCTAGTTTAACTAATTAAACTACATTCCAGTATACAGAGTACTCCTAATAATCCTTAAGCTAGGCCTAGTTTAAGATAAAAGGGTTTTGGAAATCTTAAACTTACCTTCACTTAAGGCCAACCAAAAACCGATAGCGTAGTGTTCACAGTTGGGTGGGCGGTACCCCCAAACGAGTAGGTACTCAAGTTTGGTTCTTGGATCCCGTACGTACGTTTTAACCCTAGCCACTGGGCATCACACCCGCAAGACCTATTTCTAATCTATCTTAGAGGTCTTCTAGATAGTATTAGAAACCAATATCAATATATCTTAGAGTTCTTCTAGATATCCTTACAATCCAAATCATTTCATAATCATCAATATATTCATTTCAATTCATAATTTAATCTTCAATAATCATTTTAATCAATGGTTTCATCAAGTCATAATTATAATAATAATTATTCATCATAATCATCAATCAACATAACATTTGATAATAAACAGCGGTCTAGTCTCGAGTGCTAACACCCGAACTTACCGTCATGCATCACATAATATTTTTATTTGTTCAAAACATTATTTTTACTATAAAAATCATTTTTATAATGATCATAATCAATTGGTATCAAAAATATGATTCTAAAGCAACATTTCCAGAACTGATTAAGAAAAATCGATTATTTAAATTTTAATAATCCATTACTCATAAAAATCGATTTTTGCTTCTAAAATAATCCATTAAATCAAATAAATCGATTATTGGTTTAAAAATAATCGATTAAACAATTAAAATCGATTTTTGTTTCATAAATAATCGATTAAAATCTGATTTCTTGGTACCTCGTCTGAATAAAGTTTTAATCGATTTTTAGGTAGAATATAATCGATTTTCGGCTACTGTTCATCATCTTCTTCCTCTGGTCAGTTTCGAGTATTATGGTTTTAAAACACCAAACTTCAATTAAATTATATAGAATGTTCTCCTAGGTTCATAGATCATTTTAGAATCATTAAAACATATTTTTAACAACAAATTCAAGGTTTATGATTCTTGGTTCTTCAAACATGTCCAACACAAAACTCAACCAAACGACTATTTATGAACGTAAAAACAACCTACATGAACATTCTAGTCTTTAGATATATCTACGGGCTTACCTCGAAGGTAAATGAAGGTTTTGAATATTTTCCGGCGAAACTTCTGGAGACTATATCTCTCTGCTCCGGCGACCTCACACAAGAATGACAGCACCACTGAACTCTACTCTCAGCAAGGAACAAGATAGAAGGAAGAATGAGTTGTTTTGGTGAGGAAATGAAGGAGTTGGCTCTCCTTAAATAGCCAAGTGAGGAAGGAAGAAGACATGGGTTGCAGCTTCCGTGATTGAGCGACGATTTGGAATCGGCGTAATTGAACAGGGCGCCGTTTGGTGTGTAGTCCTTGATTGAGACTAATTTTGGTCCCAGTCGGGGTACACTTTTCGGTCCAACTTTCTCCGAATTGAAATCCGTTTGCACCGTTGCGATCAGACAGTCGAACTCTATCCAACGATATAATTTTTATATTCATTCGTTATACTTTTTCTGACACCACATTTTTGGGTGTTTGACTTTAACAGAGTCAAAATTAGTTTGTTTTAACCTTTACTTAAAAAGGTGCTCATACTAAATTCATATTATTTATTATCATGATTTATTTCAATAAATCATTTTAAAGTTCACATTATACACAATTTCTTTATTTATTCTTAATTTGGGTCTGTACTGAGGTTCCCAATCAAGATCACACAATAAGTCAACACGTTGGATTTACCTCTATGAGATTTATCCTGATTATGATATTGGATATCAAAACAAATTTCGTATCGGCCCAAAGCCCAACAATAATTTATTTTAATAAAAAAAAATTTGATTAATTGATTATTTATTCATTAATAATTCTAGGGTATATTTTGGGGCGTTACACGATGAATGACACACTTTTTTCCCATTCTTTGTTGAATTTCCAACTTGAGGACAAGTTGGATTTTGAGACGGGGAGAGTGATACGGGATTATTTATCATTATTATTATTAATATTACTATTATTAATGGTTAGTGGTTATTATTATTATATTAGGTAGTATTATTATTTATGGTTAGTTAATTATATTATTATTAGAAAGTAGTATTCTATTGTTAGGATATTTGTTACCATTTATAATTAGGATTCCTAGATTTTTTAGTTTTCTTCTATGCTAAGGATTCTTTAGATGTCCTAGCTATAAATGTATCCATTTCAATGAATTATTTATCAATGAATAAAGAAAATACTTTCTCCTAAACCTTAATCCTTCTCTCTCCCTCGCCTCTTTTGTTCTTGGAGCTCGAAGGTGCTCGAAGTCCTTCCCTA